TGTTTAATATATAATATCAATAATATTAATTGTCAATTAATATTAATTATTAATTAATAATAATATATAAAACATAATTATATATAATTATAAACAAAGTATTATATTTCCTGCCATGTGTTTTGATAAAAACAAACAAACAAAAGCTCATTGTCAGTAGTCTCTTAGGACTAAAAGCTAAAACTTCTTAAAGGCCAGGGGGAAAAAAATGAAGGAACTAAAAATATTCTGTGCTTTCTGTTGACATATAGAAACTCAGCTAAAGATGATAGCTTTTAAAGAGGGAGAAAATTAGTAGTAGTGTGAGCATCTTTTTATTACCTGCAGTTAAGTGAAGATGCTTAACCACTGTATCAACGAATTTGTTAGTGTTATCTTCAACCGAGACAGGATGATCAAAGGACACAAGCTACTGAGAGATAGATAGCCAGTGTCACTTCTCTTAATGGCCACCTTACAGGTGTTCATAAGCGGCAAGCTGAATGCTATTCTGAACACTGTAGGGGGAAAAAAACTGTTCCCTTAAGAATGAGGAAGCACGCTTTCCTATTTTCATTTTTAAGGACCCAGTATATTTATAGAAGCAGAAATGCATCAAGAAAGAATGATAAAAATCACTCTGGCCCCAACTTCTCAAAATACACATTACCTACTCTATTTATATGTAAACCACATAACTGCCATGACTTAGATAATCTAAGCATCACATTGGCGCACAATATCCAGCTACTTAAGCTTCAGCACTGCTCTGTGCTTACAGTTCTGTGACCCACAGCAAAGGGAAGGGAGCCAGAAATCACAATCTCTCCTGCAAGAGGAGCTGCATTTCAGCGGTGGGGGATTAATGAAGGCTTGCTTTGATAGGATTAGTTCTTGAGTGGGAACTCAGTTTTGGATCTCATTATCACTGAACCCACTCTTCATGTAGATGAATCCTAGCTCACAATATTCCTAGAGGCTTAGTCCCAATTTTCTCAGAAGTAATTTTAAAGGAAAAATACTAAGTAGAATAATTGAAGAGGAAAAAAAAAGAATGCTGAATATACATGCTCCTGAAATGCAAGTAAGATATGATTAGAAATGTCAGAAAAATTCCCCATCTCATCACACACCACCCACAACTACTCAGTGTCAAAGAGCCCTACATTTAAAACTTCAAATATGGTTACAAGGTTAAATTTTGTTCCTTAAAAAAGCTAACTTACTTTTAAAATTTTAACTTTCATCAACAGTCTATTTATAGTATTTTCTCCATCCCTACTCTTATACATCTACCCACCCTCTCTCAAATTCATGACTTTTTTCAATTATTATTGTTAAACACACACATATGAATTATTGATTCTGGGTTACCAGTGCTGAGATTCTCATACCCAATCCCCCCAGGCTAGCGCCTAAAAGTGGGCTAAGGGTGAGGGCAAAAACAAAAACAAAAAACAGAAAAAGAAAAAAGATGTGGATATAGAGCACATAGAAAAATCCATCTCCCACCTAAAGGAGCCCTTATCTTCCCTGGTGGAAGTAGTCCTGCAGAACAGGGCGGGATTAGATCTTCTCTTCTTACAGCAGGGTGGGCTCTGTGCAGTGCTAGGGGAAGAATGTTGTTTCTTCACAGATCACTCGGGAATAATCAAAGACAACATGGCTAAAGTTAGAGGACTGGCAAAGCGGAAAAGAGAAGGCGAGGCCAGCCAGGGTTGGTTTAAATCTAGTTTAATAGGAGCAATAGTTGTTACCTGTTGGGTAGCCATCTGGAAAGTACAGATAACTGTAGAATGTCCCCACCCATGTCAGCTGATAAGAAAACTTGACAAGCAACAGGTGAAGGTGAGATTTAAAAAAAAAAAAAATTGTGAAAAGTCCCTAGGCACAAGGCAATCAGGATTCAACCATTACCCCAAACCCTGCTAATGGAACTTTCCTGGTTTTTGCCTTTAAATAATGCTCCCTAGAAGGGTGGGGTACCTCCTCTCACTGCTGAGCTAACAAGATATCAGTTTGTACTTGTGCATGCTGATAAATCTTGCTTTTGCATTTCAAAAAAAAATGGCCTTACAAAATAGATAAAATCTGCAGAAGCCCCCTCCAGGAACTACAGGAAGACAGGCCCACTGCCCAGGAAACATGGGTAGCTCACTAAAACCATGGTGCCTGTCTTGTACTACCGTCCATTGATCATGTAGTGTCCCCAGGGCCCTCAGTGGAGTTCCCTTTAGGATCTGCTTTGTCAGCAAGGGAAAATGAACATAGTTTGAGGTCCAAGCTGCTAGGAGTGGGAAAACCCTTTATCTGAGTCCTGAGTTTTCTGGTAGTGTCCAGGAAACAGCAATAGGCTAATTTATAAACTTGAATTAGGATCAAATCAAGTTTCAAATATGAAAGGATTCCTGACTCAATGTCAAAATCAATGCATATTTTAGCTTCCCCTTAAAATTATATAAAACACTACTAAAATGTTTAAAAGTGGATTTTCTACTTAATTTTTCATAAGATAATCTTTCTGTTACTACCTAAAGTTTTATTTCCATGTTTCTTATCCTTCCCAAATTGGCATAATGAATAAATACTTAAGTTATTGCTTATAAACTTGGAGTATTTGATAAGTCATTATATTTAAAGAGGGGAGAACAGTACTAGTATACAGGAAATGTATACTCACATTTTGTTTTAACAGTATTTTGTTTAATAGTTTTGTTTTCCACTTTTTAAGTCATTTAGAATTCAATTTTTTAGTTTACTAAAACAAAGCTAAATATTTTTCCTTCGATGTTTTCCTAACACCTATATTCATGAATATGATTAAGGATTTTGATCAAACTACATGTATAGTTTCATTCATATTAGTGTACATATTTTATATCAGTCTATGACTTTGAAATGATGTTACTTTTCTTTGAGTTGTGAGTATATTTTAGCTAATTTAAGTTTTTTGAAAATAATTAATCCTCGTTTCAATCTGAACTTTTAGTCACTATTATCCTCTGTCCTCTCTGAAGCAGAAGACCACCACTTAATGTAGCAGTCATTTCCTTTACAACGCTACAGTTCCAACCATAAAACTCAATCTAGCCGGGCGATGGTGGCGCTCACCTTTAATCCCAGCACTTGGGAGGCAGAGGCAGGCGGATCTCTGTGAGTTCGAGACCAGCCTGGTCTACAGAGCTAGTTCCAGGACAGGCTCCAAAGCCACAGAGAAACCCTGTCTCGAAAAACCAAAAAAAAAAAAAAAAA